ATTTATATACGTATATATATATATATATATATATATATATATAATATATATATATACCATTGAATTAATAAAATTAAAACAAATTAGGTTTAACTTATTAACCTTCTTCAATTAAATTGTTTAAAAAAAGAGGGGGAAAGAAGAAATAAAAACATTTTTTGCAAAAATTGAGTATGATGTAAGGATGGCAATGCCAAAAAGTACAAAAAAAAGGTAACGATGAATACACAAAACCATACAAAACACCTGTTTAAGTCAATCTTACAAGCTCATTGTTATTAGCCACTGTAAGACTGTATAGCAATATTGGGTTTAAATGCTTGATTCAGACCTAAATTCTTGCATCTGACAGGAATTCAACATTTAGTTGAAGATAAAATATATTATTGGAAATATTTGACTACTTATGCAATGGTTTTTGTATGGTTTTGTGTATTCATCCATACCTTGTTTTTGTAGTTTTTAATATTGCCATCCTTACATCATATTCATTTTTTGCATTTTTCATTACTTGTGTATGCTGGTTTGGTATTCAGGTACACGGACATCCAACAGGTAACTAAAAGTTTCTGCAAAAATTCAAGTTCAGGAGATGTTATGTAGGAAATAAATTGAACACAGAAAGAAAAATGCATAAATGTACAAATATAACATAAATATATATTTCTTCAACAAGATTTATGTTTTCATTTAGCTTACTAAATGACTACATCTGGCTACTGGGGCTGAAGATAGTATTTTCTAAATATCTGCACAAGACAAGAGCACCAGGAAGAATAAATTACTGTAATTACAAATCAGATAATGAGGTCTTAATTAGTGTGGTATTCTACAATCCTTTTAAATTGACTGCATCACTAACTACCTTCCAAGTAACATACAAAAAGAAGAGATCCTCAACTCATACCAACTTGTAAAGGTATCTATGTTACTCCTTGAAATGATATTTCACTATCCTAGGAATTGGACTCAGATGCATGGTCAAATAAGTACAAGCTTTGTTTTGTTTGTTTATTTTGGGAATTTCACTCAAAGCTACTTGAGGGGTTTCTTTACTAGCCGTCATACCTAACTTAAGAGTGATAGACTAGAGGGAAGTCACCTAGTCAACACCACCTACCACCAACTCTTGGACTACTCTTTTACCAACTAAAATAGGATTGACCTTCACATTATAACGACCTCACGACTGAAAGGGCTAGTATGTTCGGTAAAGAGATTATAATTCACGATACACAGATTGCCAGTCGAATGCTCTAACCACCAGGTCATGCCAGGCCTGGTACAAACTTCCATAAAATGACCATTACAGTATGTAACATTTACTAAAATAAAATAATGTGCAGATGTTTATGACCTTTCAGCATCTGGTTTACAAGAATGTCATTAACTAAAAATTTATAGAAAATACTTAAATATACCGCACTAAAGATATATATTTTAAATTAGTTGTGAAATGGTGAAATTAACAGCTATTTCAACTGTGGCTCTAGAAAAAAGTTCAGAGACATTTTATTGCAATAATGCCTGACTTAAGCAATATAAGCTATGAATAGCGAAAATATTTCAATGATAAATTTCCAGAATTTCTAGTGACATTTAAGTAATAAAGAAATAAATCACATATTCTAATAGTATGACTCCAACACTTAAGAGATGTCCCTCGACTTCTTGTTAAAGGGTGTTTAAAATCCTCTATTTTAAAGAATTTAACTTCTTTTGGATGCAGATAATGATCGAGAGAGCGCCATCGATGCACACTCAGAGAAAATGACTACTCCCATGACTATCGACGCCTACCAAGCAATATTCACAGGTTGCCAACCTTATATGAAGATTCAAACCTGAAGTTCGACTCATTCCCGACAAACCAAGAAGACTACAACGAGGAGGAATTCTTATGTAATCTTATGTATATGCTTGTTTGTTTGTTTCCAGTAGAAATTCTGGCCGAGGATCTTCAGCGATACAAGTCCTTTCTTGATTAAACCAGTTTGTTCTTCCTCGATACAAACTTTCTGTACACAGTAGTTCCACAATCACTACGTTTCTCGTTGCTTTAAATTTAACAACTTTTATAATACACGCTATAAATGTGGGGGCGTTATAACGTGACGGTCAATCCCACTATTCGTTGGTAAAAGAGTAGCCCAAGAGTTGGCGGTGAGTGGTGATGACTAGCTGCCTTCCCTCTAGTCTTACACTACTAAATTAGGGAGGGCTAGCGCAGATAGCCCTCGTGTAGCTTTGCACGAAATTCAAAACAAACACGCTATAAATCACAGTGATTCACAAACTCAATAACTTTGCTCTCAACGAGTGCAAAACACATACTTTATAGCTCACTAGCTCGAAACTAACAGAATCATAAATTACACGGAACTCAAAGTAACTACTGCTCTCTCTTCATTCATATCTGCTGGCTTTCACTACCAGGCTTATATACTAACGAAGAGGGCGTCTCGAACAAACTCGGACTTCCCCATCATTCGAGAAACTCATCACCCACGCTACCAGCGCCAAGCGCGCCAGCAGCGTCACGTGACTTCCGCTGTCATAACAATAATGAAGACCCGAATACTTCAAATATTTAATTATATTCTAGAACTCAAATACTTCACTACAGTGCCAGCCTCCTAGAAGTAATAGCAATTTCTGAAAAATGTAGGCTTTTCTATTACCACCCAGGAAATCCCACAAACACTAGAAAACTATACTACAGCCGAAATACACGCAGTCCATACAATCATTTTAAGAAAGACAAGATATTCAACACAATTCATGAAAGCTAATAAAATCAAAGCAAACTGCAGATTTCATACTTGATCATGGCTATTTCCTATATTTCTTTCATTTCACAGCAGAAGAACTTGACAGGAAGACGAAACATCAAGTGAAAACTACAGCTAACACTAGCAGGTCAAACACATTACAGCCGTTATTGCACAAGAAATTCAAGTTTCACGACAGTAATGTTTTTACCACGGACAAAGAAACTCAGATGCCAGCTAGTGAAAATTACAGAAGAACAGTATACACAATGTCACAAACTCTGACCAGTAAGATAAAGTTACAGGACCAGCAAACACAGACCAGGGAGACACAGAAACATCCACAAAAAACCTCTTGACTTCAAACCATTGGACCCAGACAAAAGGGAAAACCACAAGTAGCAGTGGCGCAGGAAGTAGATTTGCCCCCCTTCCAATTTGTGCCCTTAGAAATGCATCAAAATTAGGAAAATTACTCCCAGGAAAAGGTGGAGAATGCATAAAATTTAATCCATAACCCAAGAGCTTCCAGGGCCTTTTCATCCGACACCTCAGACTATGGATACCCAAATTGTCACACCGATCGACACAGAGCCTGATACCACAATCCATGACAACCGTCTTTGGAAATTTCTGCAGAAAAGTTGCCGGCTAAAACATTTTAATGAGCTTAAGCCTCTTGAAGCTCCGAAAATAGTCTATTAATTGGTACCTAGCCCAACGATCACACGCAGCACCTGATACTATCCCAACCGACGAATACATTTTCAACGACGTTTATTCACTCCCCTTCCCCAACATTCACCAATCATTTACCAAAGTCCAAGAAGTATTTCTGAATTACTCGTACTTGACACTAACAGTCTTTTTCTTCCATTTCAGATATACATTCCGGGTACTGGTCGCGTAGAATTTTCAGCGCTCGACCAGTGAAAGTGACTTTTTCTCAGGATACAACCGTTTGTCCAATGGAAGCCGTTTGAATTGAGAAGATCCAGATTTAGATTTGTTTACTAGCTTTCTTACTCTTGCACTTAAAGTATCTCGATTACTATTATTTTTGTTTCTTCGCGTAGTTATTCCATATTTCCTATAAACCACGAGTGGAGCGAAGAGAGATCGCTTGATTTCTGAACTTTCCTGGTTTATGTGGGCAGCGCACAGATAATCCATTGTATAGCTTTGTGCTTAACTGCAAACAAACAATATATGATAAACCAAAACACCTACCAAGAAGAAAAAGAAATGTGACTTCTTTTTTGCACTAACGGTTCAAATACTAGGTATATCGATTTCTCTACCATAATAACATGTGTACCAATCTTTTATTCCACAGTTCATAAAAAAATCCTTCAGTTGTCAACAACTGCGAAAACACATATCAAATACGCTGTCCAAATTCTCTGTCATTCAATTGAGCGAATATTTGTTCAAAATCCTAATGTTCTTCTGGTAATACCTTTATCATTTTCGTATTTTGAAAAGGACGCAACCCTGTTTTCAGAATCCTAATGTTCTTCAGGTGGTCCTTTATCATTTTCCTATTTTGAAAAAAAACAAAAAAACGCAACCCTATTTTCATATGACTGTGATAACCTGTTCTAGAAATTTTGTAGGTTCGCAATTTACCCACTTTGTTTTAAGGGTTTACACTTTCTGCACGTAAGTATAAATAACTTATTTTAAATAAGTGAATATAATATAGTACTAGTAAATGTAGGAATGTAATTAACATATTCAGATATAGATCGATTATTTTGTAATTTGTTTTCACTTTCAAATTATATTATAATGGTATTATTTCTTAAGTAGAATTTCTTGTAGAAATACTTATTTTTACTGAACATTTGTATTTAATTCTTTGCAGGACGATGATCTGCTGTGTGTAGCGTCTCTACAGGGTACGATTCAAGGCCAAGCTTTTTCACTATCGTATAAACTATAATTTGTAAATTATCATTAGCTGTTTAACGTTGTTATCACTTAGCGTCCTTCCAGAAAAACAAACCAAACAATATTTAAGTAATAATTTCATTCATACATTCTGCTTAGTAGAAAATTGTTGATACACCTGAGATTTCAAATTAAAGAACTCATAACTTAGCATGGTGCAGCCAATGCAGATATTACGAACAAGTAAAATTTTGTGGAGAGAAACTGTGAGATGGACATGTAAACAAAGATTAGCATCATGGAATCCCCATAACACTTCAGCTTATTGTGTTCAGCTTAACAAAGAAATGTGTACAGCTTTGATAAACGTTCCCAGTTTTTCTTCATTTACGAACAACAACTTGCTCAATATATCTTTTTCAATGTATCTTCTTCATTCAAGATCATATGCAAAAAAGAAAACTAAGGATCCAACAGGTATACTTATCGTTATTTTATCTTCTGATGTCTAGAAAAATTAACAATGATATAAAACATGTAATCCCTTATCATTTATTGTAACTATAGATTATTATTAGAGTCATAATTAATAAAGTTTATTGATGAACTTAAAATTTTGGGTATTCCTTACACACTCAGAGTCACTTTAATGAAGATGTTGATTTGGATCAATTGGTAAGTTTGACAAGTATTTAGCAAATGATTTTTAATCATAGTAAATACAAGGTAGTGAATTTGGGTTGTGGGAACCAACTAAAGAAAATGATCATGGAATAGTGGTGAATAAGTCCCTCAAATGATCAAACTAGTGAATTATGTTGTTATTAAACTTAAAGTTTATAATATTATCTGAAGATAATAGGATTAGAGGATACAATTTTAAGATTTGGCAAAGAGGTTAGTTAGGCTTTGGTTAAGATAGTTTTATTTTTCTAACAGGGTAATGGACTTAAGAAATGAGTTGCTGTCTGCATTAATGGAGGCCAACACTTTACAAGAGTTTGAGAGGGGAATCAATGATTTCCTGGGAAATAAAGGGTGGCCTGAAATTTTTATTTTTCTCAAGGATGGGTTTGCATGGACAGCCTTGAAGGATCAAATGGTCCCTTGTCTGTATATTATGTTATTATTTATTTTTTCTCCAATGTAAGAACCTATGTAATCTCTTAAAAGAAAAATACAAACATAACAAGAAAATAATACGTAATTAAAGTGTAAGGTACATTGTTCTTAGAAGGATTTTCTGTGTGATGTAAAAACCAAAAAAATATTTATTTCAATATGTCTAGGTAAATCCAAAGGTCCACAACCAAAGGCTATACTCAAAGATGAGGAACTTATGGAAGTAATACAAGTGGATGTCATGAAACATCAAATGCAGCAGGTTGTTGAAAAACTTCATGATGATTACATACAACATGTGACAGTTCGTTCAACGGCTGGTGAGTTTGAATGTTCATAAAATTGTAATTATATTTCTAAATAATTTTTGTATGCTTGTGCATAATCAAAAGTTTTCTTTCTTAAAAACCACATTTCTGGATTTGTTTTTATTAATAATTTTAAGAAAAGCAAAAATGTTAATTACATTTTACAAAAATATATGGTTAACAACTCCAAATTTACAAGGATATTAAAATCGTGTAAGTTGAAGTACATCACTAACAGAGAATGTTGAACATGTGTGGTGCATGTAGAAGTATATTTAATGTTAATATCATTGTGTATAAACCTCAGCATTCTCTATTTTACACAACCTATTTTAAATAGAATTTATTTAAAGTATCAGGAATATGCAATCAGTAGCAATTTCACACAGGTCAGTAACTCAAGGAAGTTTGCATGAAAATCAGGAAGATAAAGCCAGAGTCATAGGAGAATTAAAACATACAGTACATTTTGTTTTCTTCCCCAAAAAGAAAAGTATTGATCACAAAGCTTTGATTCAACTTTTTCCAAAGTAAAATAAAAAGTTTCTAATTTTTGCAATAAATATAATAAGTTCAAAAGATTACGTGTCAAAATTAAATTCACTATTATCAAATTAACTCCATCATTTCTGCTTGACTTTTTTATTCATACTCCTGTATCAGTTCAGAAGTTTATCTTCAAGAGATAATATATGAGATTTATTTCTGGTATAGGATGATGTGTAGCTAGTGAGTTTCCTATGAGAACTCATTATATTATTATACAGCACTACTCTCAGTGGAATCAGATAACATCCATTTGATGATTATCATTTCCTTATCTTCCTGAAAGGGGGCTGAAAGCCACCTGGAGGGGGTCACCTATTTTAACAACACACACACACACACTGAAAAATTTCACATATTTTTTTCTGCTGTTTGGTTATATCATATTGAGTATTTATTTATGCAATGCCTTTTTTATTTTCTGTGTATACCTGTATTTTTAAATACATATTTCTTGCTTCTTTTCTTTCTATGAAGAAATGTTTAACCTAGGTCAAAGGTAATCCTAACTACCCTCTTCTATGCACTGAGCAAGGTTTTTATAATACTGCTAAATTAAGTAGGACAAATTGACAAATAAACTGCTACAAATGTGTTTTTTGGTTCTGGACAAAACTATCCCAGGATGTGGTAGATGGTAGAAAGTATAGTGAAGTCCCTCCTCCTTTCTCTGCTTTTCTAATCTCTAAAGAAAACCACAAACTAGCATTGGAATAAAATATTTTTAAGTGTGCTAAATGAGAAATGCTATGTAGATATACATTGGAACAAATACATAAATTTAATTAAATCTGGCTGTGTTTTTATTTCCCTGAAAGGAGGTTGAAGGCCACTTGGAGGGGTCACCTATTTTAACCACTCACTCAACTATAACACTAAAATTATGTCACATAAGGGATGCTTAACTTTGCAACTTGTACTGTTGTGATGTCAGTAAATTGTGAGCATGCCATGAATTACGAGAATAATTATGCACTCTGTAAGCTTCAACACAGCATGACATATAAACTTCAAAAGCAAGAAATAAAAATATTTGTTACTCTTAATTTGGTTTTATTTACTCTTCAAAAAGAATAATTTTAGGGATCTTGTGGAAGTGCATTTAATTTGATAGCTAAGAAATATATTTCAACCTCCATTTTGTGCTAGAATTGTCATGAGTTACTTCATTCATCTATTTTTAGCTGTATGACCTACTATTGAAATGTAGTTTTCTTAGTGTTAGCTTTTGGCTAAGTATAGTTTTCATTGTGTGCTTTTAAGTGTTCTTACTTTAAATTTTAATATGCTAACAATTTTTCAGCTAATTATTTAGTGTACATTGTGAACTGTCACAACTGATTTGTCTACATTCATTTAAAAGTACCTTCTTATTTGTAGCAGACAAAAATGTTTATCATACTGTCCTTTGAAGTTTATGTGATGCTCAACCAAGCTATTCGTTTTTCAATGTTTATCCATCTTGATAACCTCTATGTTGATCATGTTTTGCTAGTGCATGGTACCTTTCACATAGGAACATTTCATGAGATTAAAGTTTATAAGTTAGGGATTTTTCATTTGCTAGAAGCTTAATTCTTTTATTCATCTGTTTAAGATAAGTTTTTTTTAGCTGGAACATAAATGTGTGTGTGTGTGAGTTTACAAACACACAATTAGACTGGTGGCCAAATCTAAAAATATAATCACTTCAGTATCCCCACTCTACAGCAAAGTAATACCTTGGGGCATATGTTTAGTGTAGATGCCAAGCTGTATGTTTTTTCATGCAAAACATGGTATATCAGCTACCTGTAAAGCTCCCAGAAACAGCGCTTTCTTCTCTTAACTATTATATGTTTCATGCTTATTAACATATTGAAAATTTTGTACTGATTTAGCATCTTGTAGTGGAAATTATGTGTGTATTTGAGCTACCTTTTATCAGAACACTTTGCACATACTTGTTACATTTTCCATTAAATGCTTTTCTTGTAGATGGTCATACATCTTTTATGCATTTTGTATGTTTCATTTATCATGGGCCTTGCATCCAAGTGCAGATTGCAAGTCTTGTAGTCCCACTCCTAAAGGACAAGGCTGATCCTGCTACAAACAACACAAAAAAGGAGTTATTGTAACAGATGGCTATTAAGATGGCAAGCTGGTGCTTTCACCTGGTCTCTTCTTAAGAGGAAGCACTCACTAAACTGATTCTGCATGCTTCTTTCTAATGCCTCAAACAGTGGATATACTGAAATTGTCATCAATTCACTTGACACTGATGTACTTGTACTCACTGAACATTTGTTAAACAGATGTCAGAACAGGTCTAGTTTTACGCTGGAACTGAACAGAATTGATTCTTCATTCAAGTGCATCATGTTGCAGAGAAGCTAGATCCAACATTCTGCTAAATTGTTCCAGCATTCCATGGAATAACTGGTTGTTACACCACAATCTGCTTTCATGAGCATGAAAAAGTTACTTCATGGAGATGTTTCAATACTAGAACTTCCAAAGAAGTTGTTCAGTGATATGAGAGATAATAAATAGGTTTGTTGTCACAGTCTGGGATCTGATGCATTCTATTATCAGATGTTGCAGAAAAGCTAACCAACCCTGAGCATCTATCTCCTACCTCTAATGCCTTCCATCAGCATGAACTTCCAAAGTGCAGTGTGGTTGAACTTGCTGACTAGCCAACTACAAATGAGTGTGAATGGTGACTGGAAAATGGTGCAGATCTAAAACTTATATTGATAACAAAAGCTACTACTAAAAAAGCCTGCACTGAACTTCTTAGGTGTTCATGGGTGATGTAATCAGTTAATCAATATAATCGCTTATCTAGGAGCAACTGTTGCACCAATTAATGTCTCATAAATAAATATATTAATGTGCCAAAAAAAATTAACTTATTATAATTATGATTAAATTGATGGTCAAGAAAGTAATCAACTAATCAAAATTCTTTGCTCCAGTTATTAATCTTTTCTGTTACTAAATTAACTGATTAATCGAAATCAGAGTTACCGATTATGTATTTTTTTTATTGTTCCATTTATACAAGTGATCAAAATATTACCATTATGTTTGCGATTAAGCACAAGTTACATAATGGGGGTGAGGGTGCCTCGTGATTTGAACGTCTTGGGTTTGACTTACGTTGTCACTAAACTTGCTCATCCTGTCTTTGTTAGTGTAAAGCTACTAAGGTTATCTGCCATTGTCACTAATTTTGAACTGCTAACTAGAGAGAAGGTAACTGGCTGGCAGCATCCACTTAATCTGGCTACTTAAGTATAAAATATACTGTTTGTTACATTGTGTTATGTGTCTGATTTATAATTGCATAACTCTATTCTTTAATTTTGTATAAGCAGGCATGGATGAAGAGGAGGGGTCCAGTGGGACCAGACCCTCCTTCCATCCTTTGTTTTCCAGATATTAATAACTATTCTTTAATGTTATATATAAGCAGGCATGAATATAGAAGTGGGTTTAGACTAAATAGTTGATCTCCCTTTATTTGTTTCTGGAATTAATAACAATTCTTTAATGTTGTATAAGCAGGTGCAGATCAGAGGGAAGGTACCAATGAGGCCAAACCCTCACAACCATTCTTTCTTCAGAAATTAATTATATTATTTAATGTTATATAAGAAGATGCAGATCTAGAGAGGGATCTCAAACCTCTCTATTTTTTTCAGAAAGTAATAAAAACAATGAGACATCCTTACATTACCTTATAGCATCAAAAAGAAACTTTAGACATCAATGTTTGTATTTAATTGAGTTATTAATTGCCATAAAAGCATTTTTGAGGTTTTCTGAAATCAACACTTCTCTAGCTTACAGCATCCAGTTAAGGCCTAAGCCAATAACTGATTATTTCTAGGCTAATATAACAATATGGTAAATATCCATGCCTTGCCTTTTTTGAGACACCAATTTTTAAGACACTTGCAGCTCTTATAACATAGACTTGTTATCAAATCAGTTTTTTCACCATTTAGAAGTTAGAATTTTTGTGAAAAAGTGTTCTTCATATTGTTGATATCTAAAATATATGAAAATGCACCTGGTATGATTGGTAAGGACTTTAAAAATTGTTTTGAAAACAGGCATTTCTTTTGCCAGTGATATAATTGTCTCTATAAATATGTTTATAAATAATTATAACTATTTACTTTTAATTTAAAAATTTGAAATATTTGTTATTAAGTGTTTTTATTATCATATAATCGCATTACCAGAAAGAAAAACTTTTGTGACATTAATTTTTGTATTTGAGAAACCCAACAGTTGTTTTTTTTGTTATATATAATTTCATGCATTTCCTTGTCTGTTGTAGTTTATTTAGTAATATCTATTTGTTAAATGTTTAATTTATCATATATTATTAGTAATATTAATATTTATAGTGATAGGATATTTACTGAAAACTGATATATTTTTATAAATGCAAGGTTAAGGTAAAATATGAATCTCACATTTTAGCACATGTTGCAACAATACTATGTACATTTTTACAGACTTATAATATTTATGGAGTTTTTAAACCCTTCTTAGTTCATCATTTAGTCATCTAAATTGATGTAGGTATGTAAATAATATTGTCTCATTGTGCCAAAATTATTATTCTATATTATACAGTAAACCAAATATTTTATGATGATATTACAGATTTATCTTCTTAACGTTACTAGTCTATAGTGAGTTAAAAAGAACTAAAAACTCCATAAATAATATATAAACACCACCGTTATAAGAGGCTTTACTGTATTTTGTTTGGTTTGTTAAATTAATTGTGTTGAATAGGTGAAACTGTAGTCCACAGCAGAGAATACAGTGGATCAAAGAATATAATAGATTATATTTTCAATTTTACCTTTGATGAAAAGTATAGAAATTATAATATAATTTTCCACACTTCTTGTTCCAGACAATTCAGTATTATCTTACATTATCTTAAAGTGGTGTTAATAGTTTAAATGTTAGCCAAGTAGAGCTGGATGATGAGTGGAATTTGCTAATTGATTAATCATCAGGCTTATTAATTGGTTACAATCAACTAATTAATTATTCTCACATTAGACAAATCTTCCTATTTTGGGCTTATTTTGGGTTTTGTAAAGACATTTTCAAACTAACCTTCACATAATATGATATAAATCCTAAGATGTAAAAAGCTAGGATTAACCTCTTTTATATTCCTAAATTTTTGTATATGAAAATGTATAATATGCATATTATAGTATGAAATCTGTAACATGGTAAAAATATGATTAATACTATTCCTTGGGTTTCTATCTACAAATTTTGATTAATACTATTCCTTGGGTTTCTACCTACAAATTTTGATTAATACTATTCCTTGGGTTTCTACCTACAAATTTTGATTAATACTATTCCTTGGGTTTCTACCTACAAATTTTGATTAATACTATTCCTTGGGTTTCTACCTACAAATTTTGATTAATACTATTCCTTGGGTTTCTACCTACAAATTTCGATTAATACTATTCCTTGGGTTTCCAACTACAAATTTTGATTAATACTATTCCTTGGGTTTCCACCTACATATTTTTGCAAAAATATTAATTTAATGAAAACAATTTCACTTTGAGCCTAGACAAGTAAAGACAGTTCAGTGTTTACTGTTTGACAAGAAAACTTGTAATGATACAAGATGACTTTGCATAGATTAAAATTATTCATAAAGTGCAAAGCAAAATATAAAAAATGTTAAAAGCATGGCAATATGGAAACATCTTTGATTGCAGACATTTCAATTTTTTTTTCTAATTCCATAATCAGTGTGAAAAACATAAAAATAATTAACTTAATATGTATAAAAAGTGTCATAATTGTTATGAGACAACACACTAAACTGATTAATAAATTTACATTTTACAGTATAGACTGGAAGAAATGTTGAAACACGTGTGCTGAGAAATCATTGAATCAAACAACTTAAAGATTACTGTACTAGGCAGTGTTTAATTGGCACATGACAACAGTCAGATGTTTGGTTGCCCTTTTCAATGCTTCCTATCTAGCTAGAGCTTGTAATTAAACAGAATTCCTAGTCATGTAAATAGGTTAACAATTTTATGGTACTATATATTGTTAGACTGTTATTATTCCATGTTTAGCAATTGCTGACAGGTGCAGTTAAATAAGAAGTTATTGAGCAATTAAAATATTTTGTGACAGAATATAAAATATTAACTTGCTGTAATTTTTCTTATTAAAACAATCTTACCCAAAGTAATACTTGTTTTGTTTGTAACTTGTAATAAGTAATGTATTATGTTAAAGCTACACTTTTACTTAGGTAAATGTGAACAAGAGACATTGCTTTGACCAGTTATGTAACCAATGGCCACTAGGCCACACCATACACGTGAGTTGTATGCAAATTACATACATACAATTACATGCAGACATGCCAAAAGAAGTAGCAAAAGCTAATATCTGTATAATTAAAATAGTAATATGTGTGCATACATTGGAAACTTTTTAGACTTCATTACACAAAGCACAAATGAAATTAGAAGTAGAGAAGTACAGACAACATCATCATTGCAAAGGGAACGGTATCTGGAGAATAGAAATGTCATCCCTCATAGCTCCATCTCAGACAGCAGTGTTTATGTGTTATGATTTGTGTATGTGAATTTCTTCATTTGTTTATGGACACTTAAAGTACTGTTGTGTTTTAATACTTGTCCCCTAACACCCAGGTTTTAAAAATTTCACTAGATATGATATCTCCTACTTGATAAGCCAGTCGATTTCTCATTTTTGATCAAATCATTTAGTTCAAAGTGTCTTTTATACTAGATGTGTTTGGTGGGTATCATGGAATAGGTTTAACTCAAGTTTAACCTTTAATCATTGAGACACCCTGCACAGTCATCAGATTTGTTCAGAACTCTAACCTCACATGTGAGTAGTCTAGGCAGGTCACTCAACTGTTTTAATTATCTTATATACACAACACTGTGATTTCATTTTATAAACTTAGTGCATTGAAATACAAAAGACCATAGACAAAAAAAAAAAAATGTTTTGTACACAAAGCTTGAGTTTCTCCCAAGTTTTGATTATTTGAATAGTTGGAATAGTCAAAAACAGTAATAACAGTAAGCTGAACAATTTTTAATCAATTGAAAATAATAATGATAAATCATAATAAGGGCAATATTTCAATTACTTGCATTTGGAATAATAGAAAAAGTAATAATCAGAAATACTAATTTTGATAAGTTATCTCCTAGCTTTATTTGGTGACTTAACATAATTCACCAAGGGATCACCTGTAAGAAACCTAGAACTTTGTTATACCAGTTTTTATTTGAAATATATTTTTGGTGATATTCATGTTTGATTACGTCCACTTTGGTTAAAAAATTGTTTTAAATCATATTTTATCATAATCTCTTTCCAGGAAGTATTGAGAATGTGCAAGTAAATATTGAAGGGAGCATTTATCCTCTAAACCAAGTAGCCCAAATAGCTCGAAAAAATCCCCAGTTAGTTGTTATCAACATGAGTAGTTTTCCTGAGGTAAGGATTATTATATGAAACAGTTAGGAAATAAATATGAATAAATCAAAACAAGTTCAGTTATCTTGCATTTATATATCATTTTATACAATCATTTCTATCTAAGCTGTAGTCATCCCTCATTGGATCTAGCTCTCCATCAGACCAGTCCAGTATTTCCTATTCCTACAATCATTTACCTAGGACATTAAAAATACATCATGATAAAGTTTTTAAAATATCTATATTTAGTTTATTTGAAATCATTAGAGTTTTATTATTTGACTATCCAAGATATTTATGCATAAAAGATCTGACAGTTCAACATCATTCTTTATATAAAGAGAGTGAGTATGGTTTACTCAACCCCCTTTAAATATGCATATTAACAAGTCATGTGACAACCACATCAATATGTATCAGACCTTCATTTTGACATTGGGCATTTCATGGTAGTGTGATGTTGCCTAATATATAGCACTTTTGGGAATTGTAACAGCTCTTTCCATTGCAAGTTAATCATGCACTCAAATCATAAAGATGTGTTTAGATCGGGGTTTAAGAATTTCCAAGATTTTGATATCCCTTATACTTAATGGTACTGTAAAACAAAGTAATATAGATCAACTTGGGGAACCAGTACCATGCAGAAAGAGACCTGCAAAAGTCATACTCCAGCCATGGTAAGTAAAGTGCAGCATCTTGTTACAGGTGATAATCCACAAACACAAAGGTCAGTGGTAAAAACTACCCACATGCCCTAAGCACAAATATGCAATAATGGACAGGGAGCTCTGTCTAGAAAATTACAAAGTTACTTTCATGATATACTTGTTCAACCATCATATTTCTCAAGTGGCTGGAGAATGAAATGGATATTCATGCTATTTCATACAGAAACCTACTGGTCAAGTTGCTGGATACAGTGCCTATGGATTTTTGTGCCATTGAACTTTTGAAAGAAGCACTGGGAAACCATTATTCTCCTGTACTAGATAGATTATGGAAATCAGAAGTGAGGAGGAATGTGTTTTGGGCATGACAACTTTACAGTGGAACCTTTTGTAATGGAAATACAGGGCCATGGTGAAAATACATGGTTTCACTTGCCACATTTTAAGATGTTTTCATTTCTTTGTTTTGTGGTTGTTGACATCTTTCTCTCACTTACACATGATGATGTTAAGTTCTTATTTTGTTATTGCATATTTATTATTACTGCTATATTATTTATAGTTTTAGGTATATTATCTGCTACATCCATTTTAGAAGGCTTTAAGTATGAAGCTTCATATATTCTAAAAACCAAAATGTATTAAAAGGAGGAAGTTTTCAGGGTTCTTGATAATCCAGAAATCCGAATATTTCACACACCAAAACTGTGTCATATGGGTACATTCATGCATGGAAACTTTGGTTCACATGCATGAAAATTTTAAAAAATTTTAGTCTTCAAATGCTGTTCCTGACTTCAGAATAATCACTAATATCAAACACTTTTACATTTTGAGGCAGGTGTTAGGTACATGTACAAGTATATGTTACAAATTAGCTTGATCTATGTGAACAGTGGCTGAATTCATGGGTGTTACATAGTTTCCTGTTCGTGCAGGGGCCCCAGTCATGCAACTGTCAATGAAATGAGAGAGTAATTGGCTGTCAGCCTGATTGTTAGACTAGAAGATGCCTATTTATACTTTTAACTATTACATAATAATTGCACACATAATTGATGAGTATCTGTCAGATCTAACAATTTCTTTGTTTTTCACACACACACAAACCCCTAAATCAAAAAGTCACAAACATCAACATAGGTGCACATATACAATTTGAACCGATTCAAAACAATATATTACTATGATGTAAAGTCAAGCATAATTGTTACAGGGGTCATTGGTGTCATCACTAATAATTTGTGTTCATCTGCATAATTTGATATCCAAAGGTATTTCAACACTATAGATAACCCTGGTTTTACAAGAGAAATCCACCTTATTTTTGCCAGAACATACTGTAAGAATGTTAAATTTATTATTAATATATACATTTTAATGAAGCTATGCAAGCAACACTAGGTACTCAAGTCCAAAGTCACAGTGTCCTGGATGCATAATCATCTCTTGCCTGTTACAGTAGATTGTATCCAGGTATTTTCTTGCAAAACTTATTCATTTTAATCTGTTTTGTTGTTTAGTATATATGAAGCTTCTTATGAAAACCCTTTCAAAAAGCAAGTAGTGTATATAAAATTACAAAAATATATATTTCATATGGTTGATTCGTTTGTTACTTGTGTAAGTAACTGTACATGTGATTGAGGGGAATTCGTCATATATGTGTATATAAGTGTGTATGTTCATTATTTATTATAACATTATCTGTATACATGTATTTTGTATATATTTGTTATGTATATAAAGAATAGAGTTGAATATTGAGACCTTTTATTCACAAATATCTTGAATAGTCACATGAAACTCTGATTTCATACAAACAATATATCAATTGATATATGTTATTATGTGCTAGTATTCCACCTTATGTCATACACTAATCATAATATAACTTAATCAGATACCACTCAGGTATTCATATAACATTTTATGTATATAAACACATTTTTCATATTGAAATCTGTTATGTACGAATAGCTTACATCAAATATATAATATATATATATATATATATATGTATTATATATTTGATGTAAGCTATTCGTACATAACATATATAATACATATTGTAACATCATAATATGATTATTTGGAAAAATCAAGCTATAATCAACCGTTTTGAAATTTGCATTTTTTTTTTATTGATAGGCAATTAAATCGGTTTTGCAAGGTATTGTAGACTCTGGTATGAACCTAAACCCACAGCAGGAAGGAACAATGATTTATCTGCCAATCCCCAAGTGAGTTTCTTAAGTATCATTAGTTTTATAGAAAGTTTTTGTTTGCTGTTATTTATTCTGTCAGGATAAAATATCTTAAAATGTTTTTTGTATACATGGATTAGCTTTTATATAAGTAAATTCTATTAGTAACCAACAAATAAAATTGGAAGATTGATGGAAAAATTAATGCTATGAGAAACAATTAATCTGTAAAACAGAGATTCTAATGACAGTTCTTTGTGTACAATTTTTACCTTAGATTCACTGTTATTGCATTCTAGAATGGTGGTTTCCAAACTGTTTTAGTCTGAGGCTCCCTTTCTGTGAATAAAAAAAGTTTGAGCACTCCCTCCCCAACCTATACAAATGCCTTAAAATGTTTTCACCCACTATTTTAGCATGGTGATTGAAAGCATCTACTTTAGTCATACTGTATCATTTAATTAATTCAACATAATTTTTATCAGCATATTGTTTATTTAGAATTAAAATTTATTCAACATCTTCCAGAAAAATTTCATGGTCTCCAGGGGGCTGCAGATCTCACTTTGGGAAACACTGTTCTAGAAGTATCTTTACTGAGTTACAGAGCTCAGTATTAAAAGCACAAGTTATGAACTATGTTTTGATATTTTACATAAAACCTTTTGTATTGCTTGCTATATGAGATTTTGCATTGGTGTGATGATAATATAACATTAAAGGACAACAAGGGACCTTTTGGTCCACCTAGGCTGTCCTATCCACTAAATTAAACTGAACCCTAAAAACAACAACAAAAAAACTCAAATCTAGCCCTTATCATTAAAATATTTATTTATATTTCTTTTAAACTTTCTTAAATTACCATATTGTCCCAATTATAAGGCGATATTTTCTGATTAGTAATTAGGCTGCAAAGTTCATAGTTGCCTTATAATCACTGCTGATCATAGGCCTCTTCCCCATACTCTAGCCTGTCGCATCTGTCTACTCATTCGTGCGAGATGTTCGTTCAAGGTCATTGCTAGTTCTTGCAACTAATCCACCTGCAGGTTGTTCAGTTATAGTATTGATTTTGTGGATCTTAAAAAGGATGTTGTGACACTCAGTTTTTTTTCATTCCCATGGTGTCTCCTAATATTTAAGATCACCCTATAATCGGGCCCCATTCCAGAGGCCAACCACCCAGTCAGGAAAATAAAGCTGTCTTAGCTAAAGATGTCTTCTACATTTCCAAAGTTTATATTTGTGTCCCCTAGTCTTAGCATTCTCACCATTAAATATGAAAAAAGATGATGCATCAATACTATAAATTCCCTTGAAAATCTTAAACACCTCAACCACCTCTTTTTTTTTTTTACAAGAGAAAACACGTTCAGAGATCTTAACCTGTCCTCATATGATAACCTTTCCATCCATGGTATTTTTCTAGTAACCTTCCTCTGAACCCTTTCAAACAACACAATGTCCTTTCTGAGGTAAGGAGCCCAAAACTGAATACAATACTCCAAATGTGGCCTTGCCAATGATCTATACAATGACAATATAACTTCTTTAGACTTTTGTATTTAATATCTCTGTATTTTCCCTGCCACTAGAAACAACACATTGGTTGGATCAACCAAAACACCAAGATCTTTTTCTTCCATAAAAATGTTCCTTTTATTCCCATCAAAATTATACTCATGCATTATTATCTTGTATTTATAATAAATAAAATCCATCTACCATTTATTTGCCCAAATCAACAAACAATCCAATTAATGATGCTATGTGACTTCTAGAAATTTCCTGAATGTCTACATAAAGTTGGACTAAGGCTATGAATTTTCTTGACACTGGAGAAAAGTTTGCTGTAATAATATAAGAACAGCATGGAGTTTTTGTGGTTGAGTTAGTTAGTTATTGAGTTTGTTGCAGTATTATTGATCAGTAGTTTAGAGATGGCTTGAATGGGTAATGAAGAAAACTTTGCAAGTTTAACATGTTCAACATTTCCACAAGGTTTTTTTCATCATTAGTAATTTACCTAGCTGCAGGAATGTATAATGAGGACAGTAACGAAATAGTAAAGAGTGCTGGTTTAGAATAGGGCATTATTGTTCAATTAAGGGAGCTTCTTTATTTTTAAGTTTGTTGATGTTTGTTTCTTGGTTCAAAATTCCAATGATTTTAATAGATATATTGTGTTTTTTTTTGCATACCAATGGTTGTAAACATGGGAGAGTTTTATGTGCAGTAAATCTAATTTCCAATTGCACTATTCATTGGTGAAGATTAACCCAAGAATTAACTCTGGGTGATGTTGGCTAGCTGCCTTCCCTTTAGTTTGTCATTTCTAAATTAGGAATGGTTAGCACAGATAGCCCTTGAGTAACTTTGCAGAAATTCAACAAGCAAACAATTTTCTAATAAATGATACTGACTTATTTAAAAAGGTTTAGAGAAGAACTACTAGAATGATTTCAGGGACAGAATGGTTATCTTATTGAGATAGGTTAGGATTTCTTAACTTATTTTATAATCTTTTGAGAGAACAGCAAAAGAGGTGATTTTATTGAAATTACAAGATTTTCCTGGTCCCTTATTGACCAGATGTTAATTTTACAGTAATTGAACCATTTAATCTATCATACACTGTGATAGCACATCCTAAAACAATTATCACCAGTTTTGTGGAATAACACAAAAAAATTACTTTATTGTTAGATAAAAGTTTTAAAAGCAGTCAAAGTTTAAGTCAAAGTACATACCTATAAAGAATTTGAATAATAAAATTTTATGAGTTATATCAAAAAATCATGTTATTTTCTGTATCCGAGAAATGTTAAAAATTTATAATTCAAAAAAAATCTTTGTTCAAGGGTAACACGGGAGCATCGAGAGAAATTAGCCAAAAATGCCAAGGCATTGTTAAACAAAGCAAAAGAAGATATGCGAATCATTCAGAATAAATACATTTCACTGGCCAAAAAGCACAAAAGCGAATTTTCTGAAGATCTTATTTATGATGTTCAGGAACAAGTAAGTTTTTCATTTTATGATTACATTGGATAGTTGAACAAGTTTTTCATTTTATGATTACATTGGATAGTTGAACAAGTTTTTCATTTTATGATTATATTGGATAGTTGAACAAGTAAGTTTTTCATTTTATGATTATATTGGATAGTTGAACAAGTAAGTTTTGCATTTTATGATTATATTGGATAGTTGAACAAGTAAGTTTTGCATTTTATGATTATATTGGATAGTCGAACAAGTAAGTTTTTAATTTTATGATTATATTGGATAGTTGAACAAGTAAGTTTTTATTTTATGATTATATTGGATAGTTGAACAAGTAAGTTTTTCATTTTATGATTACATTGGATAGTTGAACAAGTAAGTTTTGCATTTTATGATTACATTGGATAGTTGAACAAGTAAGTTTTGCATTTTATGATTATATTGGATAGTCGAACAAGTAAGTTTTTAATTTTATGATTATAGTGGATAGTCGAACAAGTAAGTTTTTAATTTTATGATTATAGTGGATAGTTGAACAAGTAAGTTTTGCATTTTATGATTATATTGGATAGTCAAACAAGAAGCTGTTCATACATCTTTTTAAGTGAACCTTATTTCTATACATACCTCCAAGTGGCTGGATTTTATGTAACTGTTTTCATCTATTTTCTTAACAATATACATTATCAGCATTATTAACTATCTCTATTTATATCTATATATATTTATGTACATCTATATTTAGTATTTTTCTCACATCACATCTCTTAAACTTGATGTCAGCTTCATACAGGGTTTGAATTAAGTTAAAAATGTAACTCATTCTAATGTCTAATGTCTTTGTATAGTTCTAGTGTCATTGTATTGTTAATTTTTAAATGTAGTAAATATTTTTTACATTTGATTTTCACATCTCAACATAAAAAGTCCATCTATAACAGCTGTAACTAAACATAAACTATAGTGTTTGGAAAAGTTACCAAAGATCTCAGATTTTCATATTATTCTTAATGGACAGAAGAAATGAATGTTACAGATTTTGAAATACTTTGCCATAAAACTAAGACAACTAGATCTGAATGGTAAAGAATAAGTCCATCATCTGAAATGGATATTGTAAGTTACTTTCATTGTATTTTTGTAAATAGTCTTGTTTTAAAATTGTTGGTCCATGATAAGACCAAAAGCTAGCAATACAGGTATAAAATGGACAATTATGAGCTTTAAAGCTGGAGGAAGAAGTTTTATTTAATGTACTAGTCATTTTTTAACATGGTCTATCTGTAAAATTTTTGATGTATTGAACTATGTATAATATTTACAGCATGTTTATTATTTTAATTGATGTGGTTCACCTACATTAATAATATTTTGTAATTGTGAACATCTATACTTCAAAACTTCAAAAAATAATTTATTATGACTTTCTAAATCAATGTATATAGAACAATTTAATACCTGAATTTGATCAGTTTAAGATTTATAATTACAGATAGCATTATACGAGAGAATATACAACTTTACAAAACCTGGTTATTAAACTACAGTTAGAAGAAAACATTAAAATTATAAAAAGAAACTGCTTGATTTTAACAAAGAACAACTGCACTTACAAGAAAGTAAAATACTCTGTTTTTAGCACCATGTGTAGTAGAAAAATAGTAATATAGAATTAGCAATTATTAGATTTAAATAATTAAAGAAAATTAATAATTTGAAAAAAAAATCCAGTTAGAACTTTTACTTACGATCCAGATGTAATAAGTCTTAACTACTCTTCAATAACACTAACCAAAATAGAGAAGGGTCTTTAGCAAAGGGATTAAAACACCCTGTCCCCTCAAAAGAGAACAACAATTATATAAATAAAAATATTTTTATCAGCTTGATAGTTAAAGATCATATTTACATAATGATTCTAATATAGAAACTTTTAAGCAACTAATGGAAGAAATGTGGCAGAGTGTGGATCCTACGTTCACTGGCTTGCACCCCATTACTGCCCAAAAAATTCTTGTTCTGCACTTTGGAAGTGTGACAGTCAAATCCCACAATTCCATTAGAGTATTCTGTGAGGTGGTGTGTCTGTCATTTCAAAATAAGGGACAGCTAGCACAGGTAGCCCTTGAGTAGCTTTGCACAAAATTCAACAATAACAACAAAATAAGTAGTAATTGTACTAGCAATATCTCTTATGAAGAAATATCATAGCTTTCAATTATGAAATCTCTTATATGTAGAGTTTCAACTAATTGTACATTTAATATCAAATATGGACATCATTATTACACAACTTAGTAATTTTAGATAAACAAGATTATGTTAATAAGGTACAACATATTTCACAAGGTGATAGCAATTGTTAAACAACAGACACAAGCCTTGTGAAAAAAGAATTGGGAAATTTAATTGCAAAACTGTTTACTGCTGTTAAAGAACAACAACTTCAGAATTATTTAATGAGATTAAACATAGTGGTTCATATGTAGGTATAGTGTATAGTATACCAAAAATACAAAAAAGAAAGTTGTCCTATTAAGCCAATAGCTTCTACTGTTGGTACTTTTAATCACAAATTAGCTATCTAGAAATTAAAAAATAACAAATTGTTAAGTTAAAAACTTGTATTATCCAGTCAACTATATACATGAAGTGATAACTGCACATCTATGAAATCTGGATCAACCCTTACAACTTGAATCTAATAGAGAAAAAAAGACATTTACTTCACTACAAATTAAGAAAAGCTTGAAAAAATTATAGGATTTATTAGTGCATAAGTATGCATGCCCAAACTGTAAACAAACATATTGTTACGTCTCCGTTTGTTAATTGTTTTTCCGTAACTTGTTCCGATGAAACTTAAGCGACACAAGTCTTTACTTAATAAAACTGGTTTATTCTTTCCGAATATAACTTTACCGATACACTCAACTTCAACAATCGTGCTAAACAAACGCTATAACAACGAACGTCAATAATACTTCTGACTGCAGTTCAATTACTCACTATCTATCCACACATTACCTTATCTCTCGCGTCACGTTGTCCCCTCTTATATATACCCGCCTACCCTATCTAGTAAATACTAGAGCATTCGCCAAAGTACATGATAGTTCTAGAAACGTTGCGTCACTGTAGTCATGTGACTCGCTGACGCAACAATATATAGGAAGTATGACCAGAAAATTCCAACAAAAATCCATGCAGTATCTCAAAGTAAAGATCCAACTCCAACAACAGTTGCTAAACATATACTGAAGTGTTGGCAGAATATACTAAAGAAAATGGATTTTCATATTATACTTCATGGACAGAACAAAAGAAGTCAGTTTTGCTTATGACATTTGAACATTGTAATTCCCTGCTTTGAGAAGTATTATTGAAATTATTAATTTACTTCCTGTGCTGTATATATATATATAATAATGAAGACTTAGGTGGTAGGTTTAGTTCATGATTATATTTAGCTAATGGTGATTGATATTTTACTGACCTTATTAAATATACTCTCAAGTTTCAAAAACCTTATAGTATGTTCAGTAGCATAAAAGTTTTACATTTTTGAGTTGAAGTATTGTTGTATTTTGATAATTTTGCATGGGGGGGGGGATACTGTTACAAATTAAAGTATTTTCAAGAGAAACTTTTCATGTCTATATGCAGAATCTTTCATTTTAGCACATACAGCTCAGCCATAGGATTATAATCAAGTAATGAACATTTTAAATACATAATTTAGAATTATTATAATATAAATATTTTTCATGCTGAATTTGTTTTCAGGACTATAAAGAACAATTTCACTTATCGAAATGAAATTCACTGAGAGCAATCTTTGTATTAATATGATTTATTTCAACTATCAGTAGTCAAACAGCTCGTCACATCGTAGTCTTGATCACTAGATTTTTGTATGGCTACTTTTAAGTGCTTTTCCTGATAAATTTAAGTGCTAGTTATTGAAAAGCAAAGATAATACGATTCACACAATAAAACTTTGATTTAGATTTAAAAAACTGCATCCACGGTCTAGACAGTATGTAACTTTATTAAAAATAGTCAGTGACTTACCAGGCCATTACATTTCCTATGACTTTTAAAGTAACAGTAGAAAACATTCAAAACGTGATGTATCAGTTATCCACAATCAATCAGTGTTCATTTGAGTACTTTCCTAGAGTTGTGGTATTTGTTCAAAAACTTATGTGGTGGCTGAGAGAAATTTTGGTTTGCTTAATACCTATAAATTTGTTTTTCTACTGAATTGGTTTTATTGTGTGACCCATAAGGTTATCTACAGAGTTTATAAAAGATAGTGTTGTTTATTTTAGTATCAATAATCTCTCATCCAATCGGAACTTGCAATATATAACATATATATGTTTGTTTTTTTCTTCAGGTTAAACTTATAGCAAATGAATATGTTGCAGAGGGGGAGAAAATGATGAATGCCAAACAGAAAGAACTTCTTGGAGACCAATAGTTAAAAAGTATACAATGAAATATTAGTTGTTAATGATGCACATCATAACTTGGAATGTCATACTTACTTCTGTAAAATGTCCTAAAAAGAAGAAATGGTATTAATCATATATAATAAACAAATATGTTTTCATTTCTAGTGTAATTGTATCTTAAATACAATTAAAACACAATAAACAATGCAATCATTGATATAGTGACTCTTGAAGTTGGCTACATTTTGGAAAGTTAAATTACTACTTAGTTGTTTCATTTAAAGGCACATTTGTATATATTGACTCAGTGTTAAAATGAGCACTATAGACTGTTTCATGAAACACTAATTTAGAAAGATCTTTGGGAAACTTAAATCTAGAAATTTATAATTGTATGTGTGTTTTGTATATTTATTTATTTAGTGTGTCAATAGAGTTATGGTTGTAGTTTACTATTTAAAAATATGTGTAGTAACTTAGATATCTGGAGTTAAAAGAGCACTGTAGACTGTTTCATGAAACACTAATTCAGAATGATCTTTGGGAAACTTAAATCTAGAAATTTATAATTGTATGTGTGTTTTGTATATTTATTTATTTAGTGTGTTAATAGAGTTATGGTTGTAGTTTACTATTTAAAAATATGTGTAGTAACTTAGATATCTGGAGTAATTGTACACATTGTAAATTTTTTAAATGAATTTATACAATATAATTTGGTTCCTAATTTGTTTAAACTTTAAATTAAGATCGAGTAAATTATATAGATCTTTGTAAAACAAGTTTTTATGATTAGAATTAAAATATATACTTAAAATACAAAAATGTTTCACAACAAAAAATGAGTTAATGTGGTGGAAAATTTGAAAGAAGTTGTATCAAGATTGGATTTTATACATCTGTGTCATGTTACTGAATTAAAAAAAAATCTTACTGAACTGAGATTAAAACAAAGTTTTGCAGATCAAAATATGAAAAGTTTAGTGTTCCTACTTTTTTAGAAGGTTGTGTACCTGTTATTTATGATCTCCTGAATTAACAGGTGATGGAAGCTGTAGAAAGAGTACCATTTCAAGGTTTAAGATTTTTAGCCACTTCTAGGAAGTTAGATTATGTGGAATATTTTGTGAACTTTGAACAGTTATTACAAAAGTTAAAAATCATATCCATTTAAAACAAAAGAATTGTTATTTTTGATAGTATAGTTAGGCTTAGTGTTTTCATGCTTTCATAGTTTGACTCTTAGAAGTTGCAATAAAAGATTATTTCATTCAATAATTTATTAACTCTTAAACCAGATAAGGGGGAAGGATATAACAATTTTTAATAAGAATGATTACATAGAAAAAACTTTAGCTATTTCAAGTAACAATACTAAATTTAGGAAATGAAAGTTCAATCATAAAGCTTTGAAAAAGAGATGCCTACAAAAATATCTTTTAAAAATCAAAAATGAAGTATTAATATATGAAATGATTTATAACAAAATCAGACCAGTTAGTACACATTATGAAATATTCTGTGGATTATCTAAGGAACCAAATTTGTCCTATAAGATCTGTTTTATCATGTATAGGTACTTTTACTCATAAACTAGCAGCTTTTTTAGTTGTTTTTTTTTTTAGCCTTTTGAAACAAGTAATTTTACAGTGTCAAATGGTTATGAGTTATCTAAAAATGTTTCTAAATTAATTTTTGATGAACTGGTGTACATTACTCATTTGGACATTTATTCATTATATACAAATGTACCTTTATATGAAGTAATTGAGTTAAGTAGTAATTTAATTTTTCAAACTTCAGATGTTATTAGGGGTATAACAAAATCAGTTTTTATTGATCTATTGGTATTTGTCACTCAAGGATCTAGTTTCTTTTTTTAATGATTGTCGTTATGAACAAATGGATTGAGTTTCTATGGGATCAAGGGTTGTACAATAGCTAATTGTTTTTAAGTTACTGTGAGAAAAGTTGATTTGACAAGTCTCTTGAACACTTTAAACCATTGTACTTCAAAAAGATACATACATGACACCTTCGTTATTTTAAACAATAAATCTGATGTGTATGAATTTCAAAACTATTTAAATAATCATATTAATATTAAATATACTATTGAAGAACAAATTGCATTCACTCTACTATTTTTGAATACTGAAATAGTTAATTTTGGAATATGTTTTGAAAGTAAATATTACCATATATCAGTTGCTTGATTACATTATCATTATCTCATGAGTTTAAAAAGAATTTAATTCACATTTTAATACACTGAGCTTATATAATAATTCTTTATTCTGGGTTTTGTAAAGAGGTGGTTAATATAAATGATTTCTTACAAAAATACTTTTCCTCTTCATTTGATTGATAATATTATTAAGAAGCATTTAGACTTTATATACCTATAAAATTAACAAATGTACTACAACTAAAAATTGTTTTTTTTTTGTATTTTATTGTATACCTGGAAACATGCTTTAGAACTAAAGAAAAAAAGTTAAACTGCTTTGAATTGTTAGACTTATTCTCAAATTCAACCTAATTATTTACTTTAAAGACAGTGTTACAAAAAATGCAGGGCTCTTGCATCATCTATAAATTGACATGTCCAGGTTGTAACCATGGCTACAGTTCATTGTTTGAGTTCAAGGAATAAAGAGCAAGTACAAAATACTCCATATAATCAGTCAATATTCTTTGAAATGGCTTATCAGATTCTAACTTTCTTCCTGCTACTCAAGATTTCGTTGTTCTGGGAAGTACATCAAAAGAAAAAAATGCTAAGAACCAAAGAAACGACATGGATTCAAGTTACATCCTGAATTATGTACCTCTAATAGAATTTCATGTTGCACAATAGGAGGTTGTTTAAGGAATTGAAAGGTTACATTGTAGATTAATAATATAAGTGTACTTTTTAATATACAGTAATGTTATGAATTTTGTTCTGTGTTCTGGTTAGCATGCTGGACTGTGAATGTGATGGTCCATGGTACTCATGATTCATGTCCTTTTACCACATCATGCTCCACAGTTTGAGGCCTTGGATGTATTATAAAAGTATCCCAATAATTGGTGTTTGGTGCTGTTGACTAGTTGCCTTCCCTCGAGTCTGTTAGTTGGCTAGCACAAACAGCCCTTATGTAGTTTTGCAAAAGTATTTAAAACAAACAAATAAAGGAATTCTTGGGGTGGATTTGTTTTTCACATACTTCAAGTGTGTTTCTTTGAAAGAAATGTTTACAGAGACATTTGCTGTAGGGAACACATCTTCCAGTTCTGAGTAGTACCATGTTCCTCAAGGACCCATAGCAGTTTCAATCACAAGCTTTTGACTAATCTCAGGGGTCCACTTCACCACCTGCTAACAGTTATCACAGTTTGATTTATTTAACATATAATTTCTCTTGCATCTGGAACGTATATTGTTACCATTTGAATTAAATGGTGTTCAGGAAAAAATGGCTTATACTTTATTTATTTGTTAGTTTCTCATAAGTTTGCATTTAATTTGCCTTTCACTAACCTTACCTCTAATTAGCTTTAGGTAAAATAATAACAGGTGATTTTAATCACATCTAGCCATGAAACTTAATGTTAAGTATTATTTTAAGTTAACAGTGAGAAGTAATTTAAGCATTCCAAACAGTGTTCTGCTTGAAATGATTAAAGAAATTGTCCATGTCCTCTTTAACTGTACCCTTGAACATAAGAAGATATATTTCTTTCATATTGCCAACAGGGATCTGTGGCTGCATAGATAAGATAACTTTTACCATTTCAGCTAACGCATAGCTAAAATATCCACAGCATCAAAAACATACGTTTTTGTTGGTCCTCAAACTTCTGCATAAATAATCTGCTATTTTGCAGAATTAAAAATGCTACAGTGTTGTACAGGCAAGCTAAAAGAAATTTACTTTTTTGGGAGGTTTTTTAACTTGGGAACCATAAATTCCAAAAATATATATATTTCATATAGTAGTAATGCATTAGTCATTGGTGTAAGAATAGAATACAAAGGTTAACTGAACTGTACATAATTTTCCAATATGCAAGCTAGTGTAGTATTACTGAGTTTAATCTTCTATATAGTGTATAAATAGTTTTCATTAGTATTATGTAATCTGATCTTCATATTATGTAGCAGATGGTGTTTCATCACTTTTTGTACAGTTTGCCAAGAATATCTTGTGTGAAATATAAAAGATAGGGTGTTATTAAAATGTCACTATAATTCAAAAATTACCAACAATTTTAAGCATATTGGAAAATACTTTTGGAGCCAAGCCTGTTCTCATTTTCCAATACTTCATTATAAGTTGATTTCATGGTGTGTGTTACTGTTGTGTCTTTGCTTGTTTTACTGTGAACATATTTTGAAATACTTTCAGTCTGTTTCAAAGTATGATGTATTTATTCTCAGGAAATATTGTTTGCTGTTTAAAATTTAAGTATTGACATCTTAATGGCTATTTTAAATGTTCAAAGCTTTTGGAAGCATTTTTTAAACATATCAATCTTCAAAATATCAGTAAGTTACATTTTCTGAAAAATTAGTCGATTCAAGGCTTTTGTTTTTTGTGTTCTTTTTTCCAATAGAAATAGTAAGGTATACTTAATATCAAAATTTTAGTTATTTTTTCATGGAAATGGCTGTTTGTGTGTGTGTAATTTTGTGTTAAAAAATGACAAATAAATTATTAAATAATTTTTTAATTGGTAGACATATAAAATATGTTGCATGTTATGCGTAAGTAAAAAATTTTGAAATTGTTGAATTTGTACGTTTCAATTGCATTTGATCATGCAAATCAGTTTCTTTATCTGTCATATTGTTGTAACATGTTCTAGTACTTCTATTGTTTGACTGGATCTTTTTAAAGTATTTGGTGAAAATAATGTAAAGTCCAGTCCACATAATGATAGATTAGTTCAGTTTTTTCTTAACCTTTAATGTTTAATACAGGCTACCATCACTTCTACACAGTTGTAAGCATAAATTTACAAATAATGTTTTCATTTTCAACAGAAATTTACTTGCTACTGGTACTATGACTAATGTACAAATAAACCTTTATATTTTCCTGGCAAATCAATCAAGTAACTGAATATGCATGATAACTAACACTGATCTGAATAGTTCACTAACTTCTCAGTCATTGAACAAACTGAACTGAATGCTTCATGGATTCTTTTATTTATAATGTATCTTTGTTTCTAGATATCTTGCAAAGTCTCTCTTTATGAATATTCTAGGAATACTCTTTTAAACTTCTTAAAACTAGCATCATCATCATAATAGCAGTTTATGTAACAAACAACTAAACAACAAACTTCCTAGATTGTAAAAATAAAACAGTACATTAAACTCTCCATTCTCTCAGTCCTTTTGGTGGTTTTTCTTTTTCGAGACCCATGGTATGCAGATGAGATGACCTCTTAGTCTTTATTGTCTCTGGCTGTCCTCTCACTGGAGGAATTTTTCCTAGCTAGTTAGTTGAGTAAATCTATTGGTGACTATCTCTAAATTTATCATCTGCAAGTGGTCTTAGCAGTAACCCTGGGCTCTTCAGCAGTTTGACTTTCCATTGACAGATTCTTATCTTAAATTACCAACTTGGACATTTTGGTACCAAAGTACTTCAAAAGACAATCCTGTATGATCTTTGACTTGGACTGCCTTTCCTTCAGGATTTTGTAATCCATATCATTTATTCTTTTCAGTACAATGTATAGCCCTTCCCAAACATGATCACCATTTCAGCTATGGGGGTGTTATAATGTAACAGTCATCCCACTATTTGTTGGTGGTGGGTGGTGCTGATTAGCTACCTTCACTCTAGTCTATCACTTCAAAATTAGGGGTGGCTAGCACAGGAACTAGTTGAGTGGCTTTGCATGAAATTGGAAACAAACATGTATGACTCTTCTGAACATTTAACTTTGGAATTTTCCTTTCTTGTGGCTAGAATTGTTGAGACATACCGTGTCACCTAGAAAAAAATCCAGTTTTATAAGCAATAAAAATCATTGCAACTTTTCATTTTTACCACAAGCTGATTTCAGTCTTTTCTGAGTAAAGTCATATATTACATTTTTATTATTCACAGCCATGAGAGCTCTTCCAACCTCTTAGGACATGCTGGAAAGTTGTATTCTACTATGCCCCAGCCACTAGATGAATTAATTATAATAACTCATGGTATAAGTATTTCACTTCTGGTGGTACAATGACCACCCTCCCTGTTGTCACTGGAAGTTCAACCTCTGGTGTAGTGATTGCCATTAAATATATAGGGATTACTAAATCATAGACTGTGAAGCTATTTAAAGTTGGCACTCTTCCTTGGTGTCACTTA